GCCCTTAGTAGAATATCTACTTAATATAAATGGTGCGGGGTAATATACTATTAGTTATTTATATGAAATTAATTATAAATATAAAAAATACTCATTACCTCAGATTCGCTTTACAATCTAATAAAATGATTGAATTTGACAATCTTCATGCTTATTTTACATAACGTCAAATATTAATCTAATTTAGTTTCTGTAAAATGCAAATGTTGGAACTTCCGTCTTATGATAAATTTCTAGGAAAATTATGTTCGCTAAATATACACGAGTGGGCGCGTACTTGCAATAAGCACGAACTCTCCCATTCATGAATCAACTTCACCATTACCTAACCGTGCCACGAGACGACTAAAACAAACATCACGCTATGAGTTATTAATAAAAGTAACGAGTTCAATGAATCCTCGAGTGTCGTATTTGAATCAGAGTACCATTACGTGATGCATTTATATACCAAATAAGAATTTGTTCATCTGTTTATATCCATCTCTACTTCAAAGGAGGCATACAAATATGTCAGTATTAAACATTCAGTCTCAGATATATTATACATAGAATATTTTTTATAAGTATGTGTTTAAAAATTTCACACAACAAACGTATCTTTTACATAATGTGGTAGTTTTCATTGGATGTAGTTAGATTCATTGAGCATGGAGAGATTCATTTTAATACTTTAAAATTTAATTAATAAAATAATAAATCTATTAATGATTGCAGGAAGAAGCCTATTCAAAAACCCATTCTGACGAATGTTTCTTAATTAATCTGTTCAATGTGATCATTGTCGAGTAAACTATTAAGTGGACGGATTCCAGGCAGAGCCATAATTTCAAAGTAACGAATCAACTCCATTTGTTTATAAGTTCTGTTTATATATCCCGCTTCTTCGGTCTTATTTTAGAAATCCTATGTAATCAAATCCTATCCTATCCTATCCTATCAAATAAACAAAGTAAGTATTTAGTGTTAAATAAAAATCGTACTCTGAGTGATAATTTTATTCCATTCCTTTATAGTAAAACGTTCGATAGACGGAGGAAATTGGCATAGCAGGGCTGGCTATTGTTACACATTTCGTTTTAAATTGGGGGCCTTTCTTGAATTTACACCCATGACTTTGCAGGAGGGCGGCCGACGAGGGATCGGGCGTCTTCAAAGCGACGCGCTACAAGTCTTATCGATTGATCCAAACTAAATTGTTTGTGCGTTCACTCACTTTCATTGTACAATCCACATTTTAAACTGCTGCTTGACATTTGAATGCATTATGTATATAATTTTATTAGCCTTTATTACAGAGAGACACCCTGTAACCTTATACTTAATTTGCGTTCAATAAGATGTATGAGAAACAATCATTGAATAGCTTACGCTAGTCCCTCTGATGCTTGTATTATCTCTTTGTTCCATTGAGCCATAAGGCAATTAGTTTCGAGATACCTGAAAATAAACCTACACGATAACATTATTACAATATGTTATTCGTATTAAATAAGGACGATAACATCTCCAGACGGCTCTCTCTCGACCCTTGCATTGAAAGCAAGGAGGCGTTTTAATTTTGTACAATAAAAAAAGTCCTTAAGCTGTATATTATTCAAGTTGTATACCACATTGAAGTATTGCCACTTTGTAATATGTACTTTTAATGTCCTCACCAGCAATAGAAATTTATTATTAAAAACATATAGTACAAGTATTTTACTTAAGATACAGAAGTTATTTGGAGTTTAAACCGAAGCACCACTTATTCAGCTGTAAAATAGTTACAAATTATGAACTATTAAATTTTGGCTGTTTTTGTTATTATTAGTAATAGTTCTGAATTTAAACTGAAACATGGAAACTCATACCCTATGATCCTGATTATGCCCAAGTAATTATTTACTATATGTACTTTAGTTTATGCCTATAAATGAAAAAGAATATTTGCTACAGATTATGCATATATAATATAATACGAATGAACCATTTTATCCAAACCAAAATGATGTACCTTACCTTCGCAGACCTATATTTAGGAAAGCTATGCAATAAAAGCACATCGCTACCCGCACGACTGTGCAAGATAAATGGACGGCAGAGAGCGGCCGCGGCCATGGAGACGCGTTCTCACGGCCCGTGCCTGCGTATCATTCTTTTTGTTTCATCTGGTTCCCGAGTTAGAGGTCGGCGCAAGCCGGTCTGAGACTAGAAGTGACCGCTGCACGCGCGATCGTACCGATAAAAACTGTGAGATAGCGACAAGCTATGGACGCCTAACGAGCCGTTGCCTACCTGCCCTTTTTTACTTTACCGTTCTTCAATTTATTTTACCAACGTTCCGATTTACTTGCAGATTGTATAGAAGTGTTAAAACGTCATTCTCAATACGTATATTCTCAATCTTTGAAGGCCAAAAGAGAATATTCTCAATTGGATCATACTTTTTGGCAATATTGAAATGATCTCAACATTGTTTTTTTATATTTTTGTAATTTATGATCATGTTGGTCTGAAACCACCTACATAATATCAATACAAACGTTTACGATTTATATCGGGTTCTTGTATTAAAATCATTCTTATGTTATAGATGTGTGCCCTGTAGTGAAGAAGCATTAATTATTTGGTCATGGCTCTTGCACACCACAACACCTCCGCTCATTTATTTACCGCTTCATTAAGAGCTCACTCACGACGTGCGGCTGTCAAAATCTCCTCTGACGACCATCCGTCCGCCGCAGCGCTTGAAATATCGCAGTATCGCACTACAATAACACTGTCGTCGGCCTCGTTAATTGTCTTCGCCTTGTTTTCCCTCCGCGAGATCTCCTTTATTTGAGAACCCGACTGTACTCATAAAATAGACTGCTCGTTTCCGTTCCGAAATTGAAACAAACACACTGCGGTATTGCGTAACATTTCATTACTTTACCACAAAATTTCCTTTAACAAAAACAAATGAGTTCGCTGTGTTCATTTCGGTAACGCACGGAAATGATGCACTTCAATCGCTAATAGCACCCACGCCACGCAAAATTTGAAATAATAAAATCATAGCTAATGATTATGGATATAAAAAATCAATTTCATGTACAGTTACAATTGGATTAGGTAACTATCGTCAATAACTAGTTACAGACACTCCGAAGATCGTCTCGTACTCTGAAGTAGATTTAGAAACATTACTTATATTTATTTATCTACTAACCATCACATTCATATTTATGATTATTGTGCAATATTATTACTTTGGCTATCTTGTGTCTTTACTGACTTTCGATGACATCCGATTTTGAAATTTAAATAAATATTTTTAGATTACATGCATAAGCAGAAATAGTTTGTAAATTTTGAACGTTTGACCAAAGGTGACTCGAAAGCAAAATCCTCGATCTCTGGGATTGTAATTTCTGCACAAATTTTAATGAATTCGTTCTTCTTTCGAGCGTTCCTCAGCCGCTATTCAAAAGAAAATTACTGTAAAGCGAGGAGACTCTCTCGAAACAAACCCTTTAAGAGTCACGCTTCGTTCTCGCTAAACTTGGTCCAATTATTTATACTTCCTTTTTTGCGCATTCTTATACTGATGGTCATTATGGTGGCGTCAGTTGGCAAGCGAGGCCAAAAGGCCGTAGCACCATATGTTCTCAGCATCGGCCTTTAAATTTAGTCGTGACAGAGAGTTCGGATAATTGATTAATGGCCCCTCGGGGCGGACGTGTTTAAACGCCTCGATCATCGTTTTTTTGTCAGAATCCATGTAATGATACGTTTTGATTGTCTACACAGGTATTAATAAAGAAAAGCCATATGGTGCCGGGCACAGATTCGCTTCACTAACAGTTGGCCGTTACGTTTTATAAACAGGTACCCAACGAAATCTATTACAGCTACCTGCTGTACTTACTTATACCGACAGACTTATCTTCTACATATAGGTACATATAATTTAAAGTATAAGTACCTTTACCTATATATAACAATAGGTTATTATTTATAATTTCTAATATATATATATCACGAGATATGACCATAATGTATTAATTATTTACACTATATAGAAATTGTACAAGATAAAAATAGTTACATTTTCGATAATTAAATACACGGCAGTTATATTTCGTCAATAATTACGTAAAATTTGGTAGCCTATTAAAATGTAATCTGTTTCATAATTTAAAAAGTTTTCCGGATTTATCAATCGGCGTGGCACAAACATTAACAAAACAAATGTTTTACCTACATCACAATAAAAAGTGCCAACGTTTCGGTTGGTTACTTCTAAGCCTTCAATATTTTACTTCAATGTAGTAATGTCCAATATAGTTGTGGTCCAATTTGTTCTTATAACAAAATTGGTCAATTTACGTTTATGCTGTTATGTATTGTTAAACAGTACAGAATTACATGTGTATGCGATAATGCGTTTCATTATCGCATACATATGTAATTCTGTACTGTTTAACAATATATCATGCGTTTTCATTATGTAAAATATACACCGTGTATATGTACAGATAATTTATAATAGGTAAATCTGAAAATACACTGAAAATCTTTACGTCTATTTAAACTTAACATTTTATCAACTTTACACAATGACAAACGACGTGTTATGGTACCATATTTGTTATTAGAAATTAATATTTTATCAAATTAATATTATCATAGTAACATTACTATGATGAACAGTTCGTTAATAAGTGTTTAAAAAACTAATCAAATTAAATACGTTACCGTTTTGGAGGAAATCTTACTTTAAATGATCCTCCAATTAAAGTACGTATGAACACTCGTAGGCGAGGCCTGATGAATTTATATTTTTTTCTATACGGTATTCCTTTTCTTCACCTTTTACCAGGATGAATTTAAGTCCAAGTTTACCTCCCCATCATCGAGTACGAGTTCAAATAACCCGTTTAAGATACGTCAAATATTGCTACGTTTAATAAGTAAATTTAGTATTATAGTACGTAATAAACAATGTTAAATCAGGTTTTTTGTTTGTCTACCAGGTTGGGCAATGCAGCGATGTCTAGCGGGATGGGCGGCGGAACCCTCGGTAGTGGGCATTGCCAGCTTGCTAACCAGCCACTAGTGATGCCAGTCTTTCCCCTAAGAGCCAGCCAACCAAGCCCAGTGCCAGTGTATTCACCTTCAAGGTTCCATATAGACAAACGATGCCAACACCGATGCACGTGGAAGTGTCTTGCTATAGCTATGATATGCCTCTGCGTCATTTTAGCGGCAATGCTTGCCTACTTTATAGGTAAGAATAATCTTGTTGTTATTATGTGTACATATAGATAGTTTCGTAGGTTTTCCAAAACTATATATAACGTTGTAGGTATACACACAGGCAGTGTACCGTAATTAGTAACAGTAGTATTACGACGAATGCAGCTTTTATGTAGCAATATTATATTATGCATAAATTATAAAAGCTTTGTCAATATGGGTTTGAGTTTTTTTTATTTAAGTAGGTAAAACCTACTCAATTAAAAAAAAACCTGAACTTTATTGTTTTTATTTGACGAGCTTAATTTCGGATTTAATGAAAACAACCAATTTTTTTAAATTATGTAAAGGCATGTACATTATATAAAGTATAATGATTACACTCTTCTCATTAAAGTCGAAAATGTAAAAATGAGCTCAAAACAATTATTTTAAAAAATAGTCACCTGTCAATTAAGGTATTTTTTTCTTTTCTACCTTTCTATCATGGCCCTGGACTTTGTACCTTTATACAAGTTATGTTCTATCCATCAAACGTCCCGAAGTCATATTATTTCTTTTCCAACAAATGTGATAAAAATCTATAATAAATACAACGTAACTAAAAAGCTAACTAGTAAAAGTTTAAGTGAATGCTTTTAATCTTCTAATAATTCTGTAATCACAAAAAGGTCCCCAAGTATAGACAAAGGTTTTATATCGGCAATCGATTAAATATTGGAGTTTTTAACTACAATTTATACTGTCAATATATCTTTGTTGTTATAATCCCAGCGGGACGCTCGTGAGTCTCGTTAAGACAGTATTTTTATTAACTCGCTCGGAATGCTGATTAAAATATTCATAACATTATTCTTTCCGAAGCATTAGCGACGACTCTGAGGTCTTAGTTTAAAAAGCTCGATTTTGTCTAACGTTTCAGTCAAACGAATGTACAACAACTCATTTTTATAAAACAGAAAAACATATTCGTTTCTGACAATAATGTAAATTTTATTCCTTCATAAACGATTGATCCTTTTATAATTACGAAAAGAATTGTGAAAATTTTAAATCTATTCTCTATCACAATCTTTAAAAAATTCTTATTCCATTCTACACAAAATACACTTTTATTTAATTTGATAGAATGGATATTGTATAAATTATGAAATTGTGTGTAGTTACCAAGATATAATTAAAATATATCCATGATGTTGATGATAAAATGACGTAAGATATTATAAGTAGATTAATATGTATATTGTAAGTTATTTTTAAGCACACAGTCAATCGAATTTAAATGAATCATTCGTTCATAATTATATGTATATATCTATCCATAGATGGCATGCCAATAACTGTTGTCTCTTGTGGAATAGCCATAAAATAGTTTAATGCGTTTATCGTTTTACACTCAGATCATAATAGAAAAATAGTTCTATCATCACATCGAAACTCAATTACCGTAGGTGATATATTTGAATATCCACATCGTGCATGCAAATGACTTGATTAAACATCGATGTTGCAACCGAAACAGACATCAGCCATTAGTCTTTCATCATTCTTTGTTTAAATCTCACAACCGGCATCCGCAGAGGGCCTCATAAAAAAACTAAACAAACATCAAGAAAATATAAATGATGCGTCTAACCTAAGGCAACGGGCGCTGCGTGCTTCGAGCCCGGCGCGCCCGCGTTCTTTCCGTTATAAATTATCTTACACTTCTACGTCCCGTATTATTTTACTATAGATATATCAGCCACTCGCAATCCTGGCCTACCCGCCGAATAGCCGATCGTAATTTATACATACCTAATACCTCATAAATCGCAAAAGCAAATCCCCACTTGATATAAAGTAAAACGACTAGTCATGCCGTAGTACTGCAACGTAATAATATTTTACGTCCATTTGCACATTAACATGAATATAATAATGGAATACGTGTGGTTTCCGTCGTGTATATCAAAAGCATTTTCTTGTTAATGGTGGAATAACATGAAACAACTTAACATAGATGTGGAATTTTGAATTGCAATCCTGTAGATCATAAATTGATAGTATAAACAATTATTTTAAAAAAACACCAGTTCGTAAATGTAACTTTAAATATAATAAAAATAAAGTTGTTTTCAACCCAAGTGAACCATAGCTATGAAACAGTACGTACGTCTACTTAAATAGAAATTTCCGCAAAATTATATACAGTACTTACCTGAACTATATAATATTATATGATATCTGTACCTTAACTACCATTATCGAAACTCACAAATATCAAAAAATTACTAATGGTCGAGGCATGGACAAATTTAAGAAAATTGTGTTACTTCTATTTGCTAATTAAATAAATATTAGTTAGTTATTACATATCATTTCTATTTCCATTAAAAAAACTATTTTAGATTTAATTCTGCAATAAAAGAAACCATTTGGGAGCTCCGTAAAATATTCGTTTACTAATAAACAGACCACGGTACTTTTTCGTTCTAAATGTACCATAACTTTAAATTGGCTAAGGAATCCAAATAAAAGCGACTTAAAATATTTAAAGTTAACCAAGATCTTATCATTTAACTGGAGTAAAAACGGGACGTGATTCGAGTGTCTATACACTAAACGGGCTTGGGTTCGGCAAGTTACAACGTCACTGCATCACGCAAAGCAACTATGCGCATTGCTCACTCAAACTATATTCTATATATTACAAGACTTTACATTGAAAATAGCGTTACTAGCGTTACTACTAGCGTTTACTTTTTCTTAAATAAGTGAATTCGTAAAGAAAAACCAATAAACTGATTTACAACTTATGATCCAGCCAAGTTGCTTGACAATAAAGTATCGTTTGCTTTTACATAATACAGTTTATCCTAATATAACGACAGATTTTGAGATCATCTAGCACAACAATGTTATAGCAATCTTAAGGGTCTGAAACTTCTCGCCATTTATAAGTACGAGTATGACGTGGATGCCAGTAGATTAGTTGTTAGTAAAATCATTACAGAGAAGGTACCACATAGTCTCTTGTTACAGTTTAGGCAAAATCATTTTAATTTAAGTTAACCCACGGCTCTATTAAACTGTTTCAACAAACACTAAATAATGCGCTTCCAGCACGCTATGTAATGTGAGCGTAAAACAACTTCCCTTATTTCGGCAACTTGCTGTCAACAAAAAAGAAATTATTTAAAGCATGTTTTGTTTAAATGCTATAATACTTCCTATATGAAATTCGTACGTTCAACTACAATTTCTAATGAAAAGTAATTACCGCTAATAGAATAGAAAATAGAAGACATGTTGTAAAAAAGAATAAATATCTCACATTTCAATGCCACCAGTAATGTAATGAACGGGCTCAATGTGAGGTGTTTCTAGTCAATGAGGCTTATCGTATCGGATCTCACTTCATTTAGATTCTAGTTAAATTACAGGGACAGAAGATAAGAGCCTCATGTCGCATACAAATGCCAGCAGCGGCACATCGTCCACTTCAAAACGAGATACATTTCCAAACGGAATGAACTATCGCCTCTAAATTACCACATTTAGATTTCTTTAAGATATTACGGAATCAATCAATTTGTTAATGGTAGTAGGTACCTAAATTATAGATGCTTTAAGAATCTACGATCAATGCAATGTAATCGAACGTTTACGTGCTATCAAAGAAAAAATAATTTTATATAATAGTTTTAACCCATAGGTACTATTAATAATAATGAGCCGCTTTTAGTGAGTGTCTCATTAAATAAACGTACACCTACCTACACATTTTCATTAAGTATATTTTCAAATCATAAATCATTTTGGTTTTGTTCTACAATGATTGGGTTTGAGAAACACAATATAATATTTGTCGGACACGCCTCCTGGCGTTCCGGATATATACCGAATAAAAGCAGTTTTGTAGTTTAATCCGACATAAATCTTCTGGTCCGCATTAGTAGTTCTACTATTGTAATGAAAAAATGTGAACCATCTGTTGCACCCTTCATTACATTCATAGTGTTGAATATGGGGGCAAATATAGCACATCAACTTTTTAATGTAATTGAAAATGTGAGAACCCCAAAATGTTTTATTAAAGCTCACTCAGTTCTCTGTATTGACACGTTTAGATTAACCTGCATATCAGATAAAGTCTATTATTATTAAGATATTAAGTATAACACATGCTCTTCTGAACTTCATAATAAATTAATATTCTTATTATTACATTTAAAATAATATTTTATACTTATCATCCTATAATAAAATAAGTCCCAATCGATAAGAATGGGCAATAAACACTACTACTGTTAGTATTTTTTAATTTATTTCTAAATATATTTTCAATAGACTGCTGAATGAAAACAAATACTATAAGAGTAGGTATATACACTTATATGTATACAATAAAACGAGTCGCTGAACGCTATGATATTTTGACAACCTATATTATAATTATGCTTAAAGTGTACTTCTAAATATATAATTTTTAGGTTGTATTTAAGCTTAAATGTAAATATATACTAACGATGCTGAATTTTTTTACATCAAATCAAAACAATTTTAATAAAATTATTCTATATATTTTCAACAGTATGACACTAAATGAGAATTAAACAAATATCCTTGTTACCTTTTTTTGATTTAACATATAACTTGAAATTATAATATAATTTTTTTTTGTTTAAGCTAGCCCTTCTACTTGTCTAAATTACTCATCACAACAATCTCTAATTACTTGTACATTTATATTCCACTTCCTCAACTTACTGTTATCCCAATGCCCCTAAAGTAATCCTAATTAAATTTGTAAATACCAAACTTTTTGCTATTAGATACGAAATTAAATTTATAATCCACATATTCACAGTCACATTTGTACTTGTCCGCGCTTCTTATAACACAGGAGGAACAAGACCTCGACCCTCTTTCAAACGTAGATCATCTCAATGAACGACAAGGATGGTTATATGAGATATCGTGAATAATAGAAGAAGATAGGAAACGTATACGAGAAACGGAAGATTTATCACGTGACTAATACCGAGTCTGTGCGACGGCGCGTCGCACTCAATCCCTCGGGACTCCATCAAACGAGTTTCGCTCCCCCATCGCACGATGCAATCTATGCTGAATCGTATTACAATAAATTGTATTAACTCGAAAAATAGTAGAGATAGCAAACATCGTCCATCTGCACACAATCGTCTCGTGCATTGCAGCCCAGTCGTCATCTAAAGCACCCTTACTTCCTATTCTCCGAATCTATATGGCGAAAATTTATAGATTTTACGAGGGATCATCGGGAAACTTACCACATCCCCATATTTTATTTTTATGAGCGGAAATTATGTCATTTGAGCACAATTATCTGGATTCAATGAATAGTTTTTAAAAATCTACTGTGAAACCATAACTACTGATATTACAAATATATCACAGACATAGTATAATAAAATATGTACTCGTAATTCTTTCAATGCGCATTTCGCATTGAAAGAATTACGAGTACATATTTAATAAATGAAATAGACTTTTTCAATAAATAAATCGTAAAGGCCTTAGAAATGCCATTAGTGCTGAACTTTGTGCTGAATTATTTTTTGACGGCTGGTATAGTAAAAAACACAACATAGAAATAAATATTTCCAATGAATGATTTAATTGATATCCTAAGACACTAAGAGAGGCGACTATTAACTATAAGATATGATAAAATGATAAAACGTTTACGAAATTATTCCAGCTGCATTAATCCACGAAATAAGTACATAAAGTTTTATATTACAAGGACATTACCTATTTTAGTTTAATATAAATATATATTTTAAAATTTATTGCTAGTATTTACATAACCTAATTGTACAACTAAGAACCTAAAATTAAAAAGCTTAAAAAAAAAATATCTTGACTAAAATCCGAAAGAAGGTTTAGTATCTGAATGATATTAAAATAAATTGATTGGTTAGAAAATAGTTGTAAAACTGTTTTATATATACTAAAATAATTTTGCAGTTAGTATATTTTTATTACATACATTAATCTCAAAGTACTTTTAAACTTCCCTTACTAATACTGAATATAAATAACTTATTTATCGATTGTTAAGCTGATGATATTTTCGTTGAACTATTCACCCTCTACTTAGCATTACAAAACAAAATTGCAAAATTGTCCAATCCAAGCGCAAGCAGCCAAATGGCGTCAACGCATCGCGATTCTTATCTAACTATAAATCTTAGATATATCGGCGACTGTCGAGGGACGAGACGATAACTTAATTGCTCCAACACTGCCCGGGGTTAGCCGCACACACTTATGGAAAACACAGTCGAGTCCTAAGCTTGCCTCTTTGCCTAAATAAAAACCATTCATTTTCCTGGATATATATGTTGGTAACATAAAAATAGAAGGAATCATTGTAAACAGTGTTTAAAATACTGCATAGTCTCAGTTATAAATAGTAATGTAGGGCTTATTAGTTACTTTAATTAATTTTACAAGAATTGACGTATTGCTTTAACGCATTAAGCCAACCGATTAAGCGTATATCCTGCGCACGCGCGCCGGCATAAATAAATATCGGATCCCCAACATTGCATAAAAGCAAGCGCTCGCAAGGTTCTTACAAAACTAATAAATGTTCACAATAAATTTGCTTTACATTGCGATGCCAGTTTCATTCGTTTGCCCCTCAGAACTTTTATTTATAAACCTATTTAAAATAAAGTATCATGGACAGTGAAATCAATAAAATAATTTGAAAGATTACAATTAGATAAGTAGAACTATTAGTATATTGAGAGTAACAAAGTCAATAAAAATAATATCGTAATTAAAAACAATTGTCTTTCAGTCAATTTGATCGTCGCATATTATTAAAAAATATTTTAACAAATCAAAACTCGTAAGTAGTAGTCAAATCCATACTCTTTTTATTTAAAGCCGTGAAGAATTATCCAATTACACTGGGCACCGCGGCCTACGGCATTCGATAATCGAATCGATCGATGGCAACTGTCGCATAATGAGGAGACAACGACATTCCCCTGAGCAAGAAATGGTTGGGTGTCGCTGAACCACCTACGTGCCCGCAAGCCGGGTCCACGGCAGCGGAACAAATCGTTCCGTCACACCGCTACGAAATGCGCCACGCCCGTGCTTCGCTTAATTAAAAACCTACGAGACGTCACGTCACCTACCCCGCTCTATTTGAGCACCTTTTGAATGACATATTGTATTGTATACCACTTTGAAAACGTGTTGCCTAAAATATATACGTGTGAACTTTAATAAAATACGATTGATCTACTGGGTATTATCGATCTAGGGCAATGATAAGATAGAAACTTAATTGGAAGTTTAGATCAAATAATAGATTTTAAAGCTTGTACCCACCATTTTATAATAACAATTGTAATTTCCTATATATTCTTCATTCTATTTGATTATTTTTAACTATATTTTTTCATCTTTACAGCGTTATCGTCAATTAAAAGTAATATAGACAATTCAAATTGTATCTTAGTACAAGATGTAAAAGCAGTGACACATGCACAAGGAGTTAGAGATGCTTTATCAACATCATCACCTTCAGATGGTACGTTACAAAATTTATTACAATCATGATCTATGTATAGAATCTACTTTATGATTTGAAATCGTCTTAATACAATATTTTTTGTAGAATCAATATCAACATCATCATTAGGCGGATGGTCGACAACAGCCGAAGCTGCATTAGAATCTGCAGTAATACCACAACAAGCACAACAAGCTGCGCCTCCGCCTTGGTCACCGGCATTAGAAGTACGAGAGTTTGATGAATTACATAGCGCCGTTATACCTGCTTACCAGTTCTGGAGTTCAGAATTCCGAAACAAACAGCCCGCATACGTTAGCCTTAATTTCACTGTACCGTGGGGTGCAAATTTTGCAGTTTATGGTAGACGAAATGTTGCTCCTAGTGTTACTCAATATGACTTTGTAGAATTTATAAGAGGCGGAAGAGTTGATCATAGGCTTAGAAGAAGAAGAAGTCCGCATAAACATGACTCTCACCGAAACCTAGATGACTGGGACGCATTATTAAGTACGCTTAGCCCATTTCAAAGATGGAACCATACGATAAGCAAGAGATCCACAGATATGAGAGTAAATGTCAGTATATTACAGTATCTTGACACAGGAAGATGGTTTATTTCGATATATAACGATGAACTTCAACCGCATAGCGTTGAAATGATTGTATCCGAAGCTGAAGGAGTCACGAATTCATGCCCTGATGACTGTTCTGGTCATGGATCCTGTTATTTAGGAAAATGCGAATGTATGGATGGGTACGAGGGTCATGACTGTTCAAAGAGTAAGTACATAAAATTGAATAAATTATTACGTTACATATATTTAGCTATATTAATAAAATAGGTCAATTTCACGCCATCATACCCACATTAAACTATTTTTTTAGGCGTTTGTCCTGTACTATGTTCTGGGCATGGCGCCTATGCGGGAGGAATATGCCATTGCTCTGAAGGTTGGAAAGGAGCAGAATGTGATATACCGGCTCATGACTGTGAACCTGCCGATTGTTCCGGTCGTGGACAATGTAATGCTGGTCATTGTCACTGTAAAGCTGGATGGAAAGGTCTCAAATGTGATGAAGGTAACATGTTCTTTGATAAATTGCGTTCTTCATTTATTTTTAAAAGTAATACATTATCTAAATCGTAACTAAAATATTTTTAGAGGATTGTCTGGACCCTACTTGCGGTGGACATGGCTCCTGTGTTCGTGGTCGATGTGTGTGTCGAGCAGGATGGCGTGGCGCCGCTTGTAGTGATCGTGATGCTCGAGTCCAACGTTGTCTGCCAGCTTGCTCTCAACGCGGCATTTACGATTTAGATGCTGGTCGATGTGTCTGTGATCCCCTCTATACAGGCGATGATTGTTCTCAAGGTAAAAAACAAATGATAATTCTAAATATCTAAAATTATAATTATTTGTATACTTGTAACAAAAATAACCTGTATTATCAATATTTTCAGTGGTATGTTCTTTGGACTGCGGACCTCACGGAGTCTGTGCAGAGGGTGTTTGTAGATGTGATGAGGGTTGGACAGGCTCTTTATGTGATCAACGACCTTGTGATATTAGATGCCACGACCATGGACAATGCAGAAATGGAACATGTGTTTGTACACAGGGCTGGAATGGCAAACATTGCACACTTCGTTAGTACTATTTTCTACAACCAGAATTTTAGTTTACTTACTTATAAGTATTATAAGTATAAATTATGTATATAATACTTAAAAATAAAATGCAAATTCTACTCACATTAACTTAAAATTATTACAACTACATAGACGTTCACTGATACTAAGATAGGTATACGTTTATTAAAAAATTACACATACCTTGTATTGTATTGGATACAGCAAGATTTTATGTTACACTATATTATTTTAAGGAATAAAAGTTTGTCATTGTTTCATTCTTGTTCTCAAACTTGCAATAACAGCATATTTTTCAAGGTTTATGTCCTTCACTTTCACACTGAGTGTGGTGCTAATAAAATGTATTCACATTTAGCTGGTTGCCCGAATGGCTGCTCTCGACACGGCCAGTGCCTTTTGGAAGACGGAGTTTATCGGTGCTCCTGCTCTGATGGTTGGGCCGGTACTGACTGTTCTATTGCCCTTGAACTCACGTGCACAGATAACGAGGATAACGATCAAGGTATGAACTAAAGTTATAAGCTCAAAAAACTTTTCTAAAATAAATAAAATTATGAATATTAATAAAACATAATGTATTTTTCTGAGAGTAATAGATAGATTATGCATAAAAAACATACAATGAGATGTTGAATATGTATGTTTTTCATCATCGACAGCATTATTCAATCACACCATTATTAAAAACTGAGTGAGCTACAACTTGTTTATAGCACTTCTTAGTGACAATTCAAACGTGCGGATATAATATTTGCCGACTAATAACAATTGTAATACAAAATGTAAGAAGTATAAATTATATTTACTGTTAATTCATAATGAGATTCCAAACTTGTGGGAACAAATAATTATTTAATAAAAATTTTTTTTTTAATAAATGATTTTATATTCTATTCTATTAATATATATATGAATAATCGAAATGTTTTACTATACATACCTAAAAACGAAAAGTACTCAAATATTTGAGCTAATTGTAAATGTTACTAACATTTTGAAGATGGCATGACGGACTGCTCTGATTCGGAATGCTGCACCCGGTCCGAGTGCGCAGAGCACATCATGTGTCTATCCTCAAACGACCCCGTAGAAGTGTTACTTCGTAAGCAACCTCCTTCTGTCACCGCAACATTCTATCAACGCGTCAAGTTCCTCATAGAAGAGAACTCTGTACAGAGTTATGCCCACATGGATGAATATTCGGAGAGGTGAGTATTCATTCTATAAGAACGCCGTTATTTATTGAACACCAAATCACTTCATGTGCGTAAAAGATATCGTTTCCAACTTAAAGTCAGATTATTTCAATAAGTCATCGATATCTTTTACACAAATTGGTTTAGGACTGACCAATCGGTTTTGCACAGTTCATATATTTAATATATTTGCACTTTACAATGATTTTAGATTCGTGATATCATCGCCGTACTATATTGTAAATCCGTAAGAAGAAGATACAAAATTCATTAAGACATAAAGTTTAATTTAGGAGCTAGCACCTTAACCATTTAACTCCCGCTCATCTTCCTAAACCTCTCCGAGGATTTGGTGTGGTTATTTTTAATTTAATTGGTATCAATACTTTTATGACTTACTATTTATTTTATCATCTGGTGGAAGTGTTTTGATTTTCCTCTGTTTTCTCGCGTATAAATATTGAGTTTTTATTTGCAATCCTAGCATGGTTATGTTTTACACTTAACCATAATTTTCATCTAATGAGTTTTGGTATTTATTATTTTTCACACCAGATCCGATGTGTTGTGTATTGTCTAATGTTTATCCCTTGTGTGTGTCTAACCCTACCTGTTTGTCTAAATAAAGCAAAAGCGTCTTATGGTTATAATTAAATTAAATTAATACGATCAATTGAACGTTCAAAGCTTTCGAGCAGTTTTGTTTGTCTTCCCGTTACAATTATCAACAAGAAGTTGAAGTAAATAATACTCGAATCTTGACAGACGTTAATTATATATTCTAAAAATAAAATATTGCTACTGAATTTAATTACTATATATATAATCTACTGAAATTTTGTGTTGTGGTAATAAAATGATTATTACTTTTGACATTATATTGTATATGTCTTTCATGATTTGAGTTTAAAACAATAATAATTTCAAAATTTTAGTTGCTCTTTTAGTTTACATCGTAACAAAACTATCGTGCGAGATATCGAATATGATATAAATCTCTTATTATTTAACAAGACAAAGCAAAACTGAAAAATAAAGTAGTCAACCCACCTCGCTTAATATGCAAAAGCGCCTCAAAAGTTTGTTTGCATTAAAACACGAGCCGCTTCACTATTTTATTTAAGTTTAGGAGTCTAGAGTGGTTACATTGCGTTCTGGCATTTGTTTCATCGTCCTGACCATCTTTGCATCAACGGTCCAGTTCATTTTATTCTTATTGTGCCTCAGCACAATCTGTAGGTGTACATTTTTCACAATATGGATGGAACAATTTCCAAAACTATATCCTAATAGTGGTGGTGTTGTTCTAATGCAAACGGGCTTCGTCTATGACCCAGTGCGCATAAAACTAAACTTAATAATAAAATCAAGTGTTAAAACGCAAGTTAACCAGTGTAGACGAGTGCAATCGGCCGGAGCGGTTGCAAAGCCGGGGTGTGGTTGCACTGAGGGATGTAGGTATCTGTGTAGTAATCTGTCCTGTCTTTCTGTGTCCCTGTGCCGCCGTGTGTCCGCCACTCCTAGCGAGTTCTGGAATTCCTTTACACCATGGTAAGTGTCAGTCAGCCCGCCCTCGCCCCTCAGTGTTCAATATCTGTTAACCTCTTCCCTTTTGTTGCAATTCCTGCATATGTGTGTGATGTGGGCACCTCTCGCGTGTATAACAACTGACACGCGATTGGAGCCACTGATGCTTTTTCACTTTTCGTTAACTCCTTTGTCTGTATTCGTTTCATTCTCTATGTGTATGTAACATCTGTATGTTTGTCTTGAATGTTCTCGTGTGGTTGCGTCAAAGAACTTGATACTCTGCTACAAACTAGCACCCTTCCGCGCACGCGATAATGGCATCTTACTTCTAATATAATTTGCCGCAGCCACAATAATATATTTTTGTAATATTTATTTGTCTCGTCTACTGTGCTTATATTATATAGTTCTCATATTATATACTATGGTGTACTTTTGTTATACTGTATAAAACTTAGGAAAATCATTTACGCTTTCACGCAAAATGTCTAAAACACAAATTGTTAGGTTCAGGTCTTGTAAAATATACAAATCGAGACGCGAGTTGCATATTGTCAGTTAAGCAAAATTTCAGCGAACACGCAAATTTAGCTTTAAATAAACTTACCCTTTTATGTGTTCCTTACCCTTTGTCTGCGTCTTTCATCTGTTAACCAACCCCCTACCCTTCGCCCGAGCTCTTTATGTGTTTAGATCCTCACCCACTGTGACTAACCAAAACACAACTTATTTGAATGTACTCCGACTATTTCACAGCAAAATGATAGCGGTCTTGTGAACATTGTACATTACATTGCTTCCATCAATCAACCATTGGCTACTCTTAACATCAAAATTGGTGCAATGAAAATGTCTAACTTTATATGAAATATCTTTGTTATTTATATATTTACTTATATGTATTGATGAATATATAAAACGCATTATGTGCATTGTGATAGTAATGTACAACTATAGCATTAGATATCTATTGCATTTGGAATGAAAACACTTCTCATAAGTTTTTTATAGGTACATTTTACATTTAAATAGTTTGTAATGACATTCCCCTAAATAATATCTTCTAGTATCTACAGTCTATTCATTATTATCAGCATAATTCGTTTTTATATAAATAATAATGATTGATATCATAAAATTTCGAATATTATATATATACATATGAAATCAAATAAAATACTATAATAGTGTGTAGTTTTAATTACACATTAATGTGTTAAGTACAAATATCAATTTACTGATCTTGTCAAGATCGATATGGTCAATAGATAACGTAAGTGATTTGAAAATATTTCCTAGAATTCTATTGTCATAATCTACATAAGATTGATATACCTACGTTGTGCTAAAGTAATTACTGTGTCTGGGATTTAATAAATTTGTCTTTGAAATACTTCCATAGAATTATTGATTATAAAAATTATCATTATTGCTTAAAATATGTGTTTCGTACTGTATTTAATTACAGTATATTCAGATACTGTGCATATTTACAAAAGATATAAATTCTTAGAATACTTAACGTATAATTAAATGTACGTATAATGTTAAAATTTAGAACCGTTAATGACTTCAGTTTCTTTTTTAATCTTATTATATTTTAGTTTGAGCATCTAATTTATGTGTTTTAAATACATTAATTTTTGAACAGATAGTCTATTTAAATTAGCATCATAGTATTTTTTGTTTTTTATAATAATATAACACTTTATTTCTTTGAGATATTTTTTTTGCACCAATTTCAAACATTACAATTATATCTTATAGATAAGATATAAAGTTTAAAAAAATTGTCACAAGTATTATAAATATGATTTGTGTGGCAGCTGTTACATGCATTATAATTACACCTTACTAGGAATATTTCTGTTTACACACTATAAACTAATTTCAATAACATTTTACTTATATCATTCACAACCTGTAAACTCAAATATTTCCTAGCATTTAGCTGATCCTGGTACGAGAATGTGCAATGCTAAGACTTCTTATTTATTTTATGTTTTATATTATTTTTTACATTACTTCATAATTACATACACGGATCTTAGCACAACTTCGCTCAGTTTACGATCGAAGAAGCCCGCAGTGTGATACCATGAGTAAAAGAACAAAATATAAGTACGTATACAATTGCAAAAAAATATTTTATTTCTTTTCGGATTTTTTTGTATTTAGTAGTTTGTGTAATTCTTTTATACTGATCGACATACATAATTGTACTTGTTTTAATGAATATTTTCAACTTGATATTATTTAACCCATTTACAAGATTATTTCAAGGTATAACATCGTGAAACGTCGTTAAAAAGATATAAAGCACAAAATATGTTGAGACATATATAATAAATAACTTATATGAACAATAAATATCGTCTAATTTTTATTCAGTCCTTACCTTTCAGTCTGGACCTTAAGTCCAGTACCTTTGTTAAAAATATAAACCTAATAATATACAATATTTTTATCATATTTAGTAAGAACATTCCAGTAGTACAACAGTAGTAGTAGTAAGAACCATGCCGATATCCAATTGTTGGTCATGGTTCCAATTTTTTGGGGTCTGATGTATGTTCCTCTTTAATTCTTCCATATTAGCAATCGTTTCAGTTTTTATTGAATTTCTACGTACCCATTATTCACATCCTATATTCATATATTAATTTCTATAATACACGGTACTTACCTAAAAATAGGAACCAAAACAGAATATACTTATTGAAAATTTAACAATTTAAATATCTTCCCTTAACATTGTGAGTATTTTGTTTAACAAAAAATTTTCCGTAGTACGAGACTCGAATCACTGGTTCGCGTCATTGTTGAACCCGTATATAGGTCGAACAAAAAGTAGGTTACATAATTTACAAACGCAGCCCGATTGTGTCACAGAATAGATATTACACAGAGTCAATGGTTAGGTGATAACTTATTTATGGTATTATTAAGAAATCATGTATATAACTATAGTTATTACACACATATACAACATATTATAATAAGAAATAGATTACTTGGAATTTCAAATTTATTAAAGACGACCTCGATGGACTAGCGGTTTAGCACACCGCCTTACTTTCATGGTGGCGGGTTCGATTCCTCGCACGGTACAAACATTAGTATTCATGAGTATGATTGTTTGTATCTTTCTAGGTGTTTTCTATGTATATGTATGTGTTATATGTTAAGATTCTGTAACTATTAATGTGTTTCCAATGTATACATATATTTTTACGTGCACTGTTATATTAAACATTCTTAAGGGCTATTACAAAGTGACAAAATTATACTAGGGACTTAGGTAAGTATTGCCCTAATCTTCAAAAGTAATAAATAAATAGTGATATAGATTCAATAATACACAGTTTAATTGTTTTCGCATCGGTTAATATTTTAAAACAGGTTACAATCGAAATTTACCATTCTTAATAAAATAAATCTACTAAGAAAATTACAGATTGAGAGGACTAGTCAAGCTAGAT